AGCAGGTGCTGGCGTCTGTAGAGAATTTTTTTAAAGCCACAACTTTTCCCGCGTGGCGGCGACGTCACGCCAGCCACGCGCACATCGCGTGCGCCGCCTTGATAAGGCGCATCAGAGGCGGCGCACAGGGAGTCGCTGCCTGGACTTCGGCACCGCTGGTAACCATGTTAATCGTCTCGTCCATGTCCCATTAAATGTAGTTTCTTGTTCAAACCGTTGGCTCCGTGTTATTCCTCCGGGTCGGGTATGCAGCAAGGCAAACCGACCACAATGGCGCCCAACGTGGGGCTCGAACCCACGACCCTGAGATTAAGAGTCTCATGCTCTACCGACTGAGCTTGCCGGGCCATCACCGAAACCAGTGTCCAAGACTTCTGGACACTACAAACAAGAGGTGGCACGAGACGGCGGCAAAGGGCCGGAACAGAACCAGGGAATCTACTACGGCCGGCGACGCTGAAACCAGACAGTCACTCGCCGACGGCCGTTGCAGTCCCTGGGAGCAGTGAGGCCGTGGCACAGATTCCAACGGTATGTCGAATCCAGCCCGAGCCTAACATCATTGAACAGCGCATGACGATTTCACTGCTCGATTTTCCCATTGCCGCACTTTTGGATTCCGGGGCCGCTATCTAGCTCATAGGGGATTTCGTTTTCGAACTCTGCAAAGCAAAAAAGATAAGTCTCCGGGAGTGCGAAACCCGTTTGCAGCTAGCTTCTGGTACAGCGATAGCAGCTGGAGGAGCCGTGAGGCTGCATATTCGGTTTAATGGAAAGAAGCGGCGTCAGCGATTTCTTTATATGCCAGGACTTGTGGTACCCGTGATCTTGGGCCGAGATTTCATTACAGGCGAAAGCATGACACTCGACTTTTCTGATGGTGAATACCGGCTGGGACAACAACCGGAGCTGACTCCGCTTACCTAAAGGGAGGACTGCATCCTTAACTCGACCACTGCAGCCCACTTCAACACGGTGCCAGACGTCTTGCCTGCCGGCGTTCGAGAATCGTTGCGAAAGTGCCCCGCAAGCAGCCAGCAGAAGCAGGAGCTGCAAGCCGTCCTGGAGTCTTTCTGACCGATGTTCACGGAAACACCTGGAAAGGCTGACATTCTGCTGCACCGCATTGAAACCGGTGACGCGCCGCCTCGAAGGTGCAACCCTCGACCGATCAGCGTCCACAAAAGGGCACTTTTTGATGCGGCGCTCGAGGAAATGATCGACACCGGTTCAGTACCTCAGTCGAAGAGCCCCTGGGCCTTCCCCGTTGTCCTCGCCCCGAAAAAAATCGGAACAGCAAGACTCTGTGTGGATTACAGGCGGCTTAATGATATGTCCGTACGAGACAGCTACCCTTTCCCCAGCATTTCCTCTGTGATGTACGCACTCGGTAACGCGACCGTGTTTACAACACTGGATTGCAGTCGCGGGTTCCTTCAGATCGAGATTCACCCATCAGACGTTCCAAAAACGGCTTTCATCTGCCACAGAGGGTTGTTCGAGTTCACCCGGCTGCCGTTTGGCTTGTCTAACTCTCCAGCGAGTTTCCAACGCCTGATGGATGTTGTACTTGGGAACTCGAAGTACGAATTTGCCATGGCATACATGGATGACGTGGTTGTTTTCCCGAGAATTATCGAAGTGCCTGTCGAGCACCTTCGCATTGTACTTGAGCAAATGCGTAATGCTGGGCTCACGATTCATCCCGGGAAGGTTCAGTTAGCCACGCCCAAGATAAACCTCCTTGGATTCGTTGTGGATAACGGCACGCTCCGCCCCAACGAAGATAAGTTGCGCGCGCTAACGGAATACCCAAGCCCACATGACGTAAAGAGCCTACAAAGATACCTCGGAATGATTGCGTTCTACAGGGATTTCATTCCACACTGTTCCGAGATATCGCAACCGCTCAATCACCTTCTAAAAAAAGGCGTCAAGTGGTGTTGGGCCGAACAACAACAATGCGCATTCGCAGCCCTTTCAAAAGCCGTGACTGACAACGCTTGTTTACAGCTTCCAGACTTGAACAAGCCGTTCGTTATGCAGACAGATGCAAGCGACTGTGGCCTGGGTGCTGTATTGCTGCAGGAGTATGGCGGTGTGCTTCGGCCAGTTGCTTTCACGAGCCACACGCTAACTCCAGCCGAGCGCAACTACAGTGTCGCAGAACGTGAATGTCTCGCCATTATTCATGCTTTGAAGCGCTTCGATATGTACCTAGAAGGCGCAACGTTCCAGATTCAATCTGATCACTTAGCGCTATCATGGCTAAGGGGACTTAAGAATCCAGCTGGACGACTTGCTCGTTGGGCGCTTACGCTACAACAGTACGACTACTCCATTGTGTACCGCCCGGGGTCAACTAACAAAGTTGCTGATGCGCTCTCTCGTGCTTCACTTCCCGAGAAACACTCGCAGGATACCCATGGCTTGGTGACCGTCGCGGCCACGACACGAGGATCCCCAGATTCACGGTGGGGTACATTGGTGAGCCGCGAGGAGCTTCGCAAGGCGCAGCTGGATGACGGGCTCTGCCAACGCGTGTCCGCTTGGCTGGCAGCAAGAGGTCCAGTCGACCGCCCAAGTGACGAGGAGTTCGACACCTACTTGATGAGCGACGACGGCCTCCTGCTGCGCTACATCCCCCAGGCCGACGACGATCCGGAAGGCTCGGCGTTCCGGACCATGATACCCCGCAAGCTACGTAAGCTTTTCATCCGATACATGCATGACTCTGCCTTGCCAGGACACAGCAGTGGGAGCAAGACTTACGAAAACTTATCCCAAATTGCTACCTGGCCAGGCATGAGGCAGGATGTACTCCGATATGCTCGTAGCTGCTCGGTGTGCCAAAAGGCAAAACCACGTGGTGGCCAGCCCCCCCGGTCTCATGCAACCAATCTCGAGTCGGAGCCCTTGGCAGATTTGTTGCTGTGACGTCATGGGCCCCTTCCCACGTAGTACCCGTGGCAATCAGTACCTATTCGTGGTAACCGACCACTTCACGAAGCGGGTCGAGTTATTCCCTTTGCGGAAGCTAGATTCGCAAAAAATCTGGGAGTGTCTACTCGAAACATTCGCTAGGTTTGGCTTTCCTGCACAGCTTGTAAGCGATAATGCCTCCCATCTCACGAGTAAGGTGCTTGTGGATGCATGCGCGGTGCTGGTAATTAAGCACAAAAGAACTTCCCTATACCACCCTCAAGCAAACATCACGGAAAGGGTAAATCGGAACCTTAAGATGATGCTAGTGGCCTACACCGAGCGCCACAAGGACTGGGACGCGAAACTGCCCGAGCTGGCATTCGCAACCCGTACGACCACTAATCGGTCAACGGGACTCACTCCTGCTCAATTAAATTTCGACAAGGAGCTTGCGTTTCCGATTTTAACAGTCTCCTTTCTACAGAGTCTGGGGGAAGGCTTCGCCCCTACGTGAAGTTCGCAGAGGACCTGCGAAAGCGCTTCTCCAATAACCTTCGAGAGGCCCGAGAAAATCTCGACGTCGCCCGAGTGCAGCAGGCAGAACAGTACAACTACGGCCGACGTGACTTGCAGTTCGAGGTGGGAGATTTTGTACTCCGGCGTACTCACCCACTGAGTGACGCCGCTCGAGGCTTCGCAGCCTCCCTCGCCAACAGGTGGGAAGGTCCGTTTCGCGTGCATGAAAAGTGCTCACCGCTCACTTACAAACTAGTTCACTGTGAGTCTAGTGAGGAAACCGGACCTGTTCATGTCACGTACCTTAAACGATTTTTCCAAGCAGAAGACGAAGATTCCTCGCAGGACCGGAATGACACTGACGGCAGTCCCGTTCCGGAAACCCCCTTGTCTCTACCAAGGCGGCGGTATAACCTGCGACGACGGTGACACTAAAGAGAGAGGAACCTTTTCTTTTCCTTTTTTTTTTTTTTTTTGTCTCCTTGGCCTCTTTCGCATTTTGGGGGTAGTTTTCTACTTCCACGGATCTGCCCCCTTTTCAAGAGAGGGGGGAGAAGATTATGTACCCACCTCAGATCCGTTATTTCAAACTTTCTGGAACGGGTGCGAAGAAAACGTCAGGCTCAACCCTCAACTGAGCCCCATGTCGTCTGCTTCCTTGTTTTTCTACGAAGCTGGCCCATGGACAACACCTTCATCACAGCCGCCATCGGAACGACACGGCGGCCGGTCTCATCGTGGACCGCGGCCGCCCTCTACAGGACGGAGCGGCAGCTGGCTCGGATCAAGAAGGACCACATGGAGAGCAGCCACCTGCTGGAGACGGTCCAGAGCAGCAAGGTGGCAGCCAGCCGAACCTTGAGCAAGGAGCTCAAACGACAAGCTGGAGCTCACCGAGCCGCTGCTTTTACGCATAGCACGCGTCCACCAACTTGGCGAGCGCGACCTCCAACGGGCCATCGCGCTCGTTCAGCAGGCGCCGGTCGGACTTGCAACGCCAGTCCGCCCAGCAGCGCCATTCATCCCCTGACGCCCACGACATCGTCTCGATCAGCAACATGCCGGCCGAAGCTTGAGGGGGGGGGGGGGGGGGGGGGGGGGAAGTGTGGGCACCCTGGTGGCTCCCCAGCCCAGTTGCCCGACTGCGAGGCAAGGGTGCCGAACTTTTCCCGCGCGGCGGCGACGTCACGCCAGCCACGCGCACATCGCGTGCGCCGCCTTGATAAAGCGCATCAGAGGCGGCGCACAGGGAGTCGCTGCCTGGACTCCGGCACCGCTGGTAACCATGTTAATCGTCTCGTCCATGTCCCATTAAATGCAGTTTCTTGTTGTTGAAACCGTTGGCTCCGTGTTATTCCTCCGGGTCGGGTATGCAGCAAGGCAAACCGACCACAGCTCTTGTCCTGTGAGCTTTTGTCAGGGATTCACACAAGCCGACCATTTCAAAAGCATTCTTAGTGTTCCTTTAACAATATATAATGATAGTTTTGCTCGAGCACTCAAGTACATCTTCAAATCTCAAATTCTAATTTTTTAATTCTCTTCGAGATATATAAAGAATGTGGCATCTTGTGCGAGATATGCTCCGCTAAGTAATCCAAGGTGTCTGCGAATTCACGCCACTGTATCAAGATCTTTCAGCATTTTACATGCTGTTCTTTTTTCAGGTTTATAATTCAACGTACGAGGAATATGTTGATGTGGATCAAGACTACACTATAAAATTGCATGACAAACTCAATCTGGTAGTGGAAGAGCCTGTTGAAGTACTTCCCTCGACATCATCAACACCTCTGCCCGCAACACCACAAACTGCTGTCAGGTAGGTTCTTCATTTGCTTTGTATGATATAGGTAGCAAGATTATGAACTTGTTTAGTTCTCTGTTACATTGCAAGCATGCTTAAATTATTACTGAAATGCAATGTGGAGCTTGCAGCCAAGGTGGCTGCTTTGCAGGAAAAAGTTAAAAAATATTGGAGCTTAGTCATCATGGTCAAGGCAAGCAGACGTGGATGCATTTAGCTTCAAATATTGATCGAAGCATCCGCTATAATTTTTTGACATGAATATGCACCTGCACAGAACAAAGGTGACACACAATATATCTGCATGCAAATTTAATGTAAGAATTGTTTTTTCTATTGCCATGATTTAGCTTGCCAGCCTTGTGCACTGGACTGGCAACGGCATACACTTTGCCGGAGCCCACAATCGACTTAAAAGAGATGATCGCAAAAGCCGAAAAAGGAAAAGCATCCAACCAGCTGCGCCACCGGATAATTCGCTGGCTGCATGCCGACCTGTTCAAGTACGACCTGTAAGTCCCCTTGTTCGACAATAGATACTAAATCCTTTGGATTTGGCCGACTCTCTTAATTTGCAATACCATGTATGATTCTTCAGGTATCCTGCAAAACGGGACTTGTACAGTGAAGCTGCCAGGCACCTCGTCTTTAAGTATCGGCCGTTGGGGGATCTACATGCTGTGGCATTGTAAGTGCATTTGTGGTTTATACAAAGGATGTTGTAATGACAATTATCCATGTTGAATTACCCTAAAGCTGGGGTAGAGAAGAAACATCAAAACGTAGAAGGGACAGAAAATAGACAGGGCGACGTCTCATTGAGACGTCGTCCTGTCTATTTTCTGTCCCTTCATCTAAAAGGGCGACACGTCTAATATTAAGTACGATCAATGTAGAGTGAAGTGTCAATCAAGTTCTATATAAATCTATAAGAAACGGGCCAGAAAACTTTGGTACGAGCCATGTCGCTGAAATCTACTATTGCTATTCTCATGGACAATAGAGGCGCAATCAACAGCGCAGTCAATACTGTGCTGTTGGTGCACCCAACATTAAGCCACTACGTCACACCCATGTTTTGTTTGCTGTTACTTCTCCGGGCGAAGTTCGCCTCCATTGACAACAGCAGCATCTCCTCCCAATATTGGCTCAGCGATGCCCACATGATCAGCAGAACATGCATACACTACTGTGCTCCCCATGCTTCTCAGTTTCGTCTGCTTCACCTTTGTTTTAATATGAATGCTTGGTTTGCACTCTCGTGCATACTCTGTGCTTATTTATCTGCTATTTAACAGACCTCTCCCTCTACTAATGCCTATGAGATAATCATGTGAGGAAACTTGACATTATTTCCAATTAGGCGTAGTGTTAAGGCTGCAGTGGCGTAGATGCCGTCGTAGGCAGGGCAGATGACATTCACTCTCCGCTGTCCGTGTCATCTCCATGTGGAGAATCATGCGATGGCTTGTACCACGTGTTCGGTTATGTCCCCACCGCCTCTGTCAACGTTGCCTGTCGGAACCAATGTTTCGGTTTCAGCTCATGTTGAAAACAGAATTGCATAAAAAATATTCCACATTTTGCAAAGCCAAATTTGTAGGGCCATATTAGTGCTTTTTGTTGTGGAATCACTCATAATTTCCACATTTTGGAAGTGGATTGATGTTTTTGTACTGTAGGCCGTATTTTGATTATGGTCATGCTTTCAGGGCTCATGGACACATGAGCCCTGAAAGCCCGCACAAAAAACCAGCGGAAAAGGATGGCAGACATCCGAGAAGTCGCGGAGGAGCGGGCAAAGTGGGCTAAAGTCGCCCGCTCCACCAGCAGAACTACGGCACGTGGGCTGACCCAGCGCTGTGTTGCAACAACTGTAAGCAGAATTTTTGTCTGCTATCATTGAAGACACAGCTAAAATTCTAGATAAAATATGGCTGTCAGTTTCACTTTTGTATACCCCACATTCATGTTTTGCACATGAGCAGGTGCACGACTCGCTAACATTCCTATAAAAGGCCACTTCATCGAGGTGTTCAAATTTAATTTAATTCTGAGTGTCGCTGAAAAATTTAACCTTCACTTATGAACAAATCACACAAATTTTTTCTACAAATTAACATTCCTAGAAAAGGAAAAGAGCAGGCAAGCTGGTCTTACTAAATGTAAGGTACGCAAATTGCCTGCAACATCCCAAGTGTGTTTATTAGAATGTTTGCCTTCTCATACACTTTGCTTCTCTTCCTCTATGAGGTTGAAGTTCTCTAATCTATTCACTTAGCAGCAGAAAAAAAAAAGAATCGTAAAAACATGATATGCCTGCAAGTGACCGATATCACAAACTTTGATTCATTGTGACACAAAGGGTCATTGCAACGGAATTTCAAAAACCTTAAGTGAAATCTAGGGGCACTGTTTTTGCCATTTTTACTTCCAGTTTTATGTATATACAATGTTGGAAACTCTTGATTACTATGTAAACAACTGTCATGGACCTTTGCCATAGCAGTAACCCTCCAATGAAAAATATGCAAAGTTCTACATTCTGATTTATTGTCTTGGTGATCTACAGTCAGAAACCTTGTGCCAAAGCAGTGTCATCTAAGGTGGTTTCATGTTGCATACTTCTGGTTTGAAATGTCTGAGGAATACATGTTGGTGAACCTTTGACCTATGTTTTCCTACGGGCAGGGCAGCTTTTTCTTAGTTTGTATTATGATTGATGACTTCTGTTGGAGCAGTCCGTGATATAAAAGTGCGTCAGCTGGTACTCAATTTGTATTTACACCAGGTAGTGTTCAAAGTTAAGGTGAGCCAGGGTGTGAGGGGACAGCTCATTCTCTCATGCCTAAATGAACTCGGCGAGCATGGAAAAACTGCCTTTGGCAGGTGCTGATGGAGTGACTGCAAAAAAAAAAAGAAACAACATTGTAAACATGGGTTTCTGAGATCTAATCTAAATAAGTCTCCCAATCATGCATTCTGAGTTCCGTTATCGATAGATCTACTCGTGCTCCTGAAATTCACGAACACCAAAAAAGGTGCTAACGAATAATTGGTTACATGCAAAAAGAGAGAGCGAATGATGGAAAGGAATCAACAACACGGTCCCCGATAGCATACCACATCTAAATCACTGACTCGTCAAACCATTCCATTGCACCACTGCTTAGTGAGTGAATAAAAGTGAAACTCAATCAATATTCTGCTTTTCAAGCTTCAAGCATTTTAACTTTCGTTACAGCTGTCATCCTATGCCATCGGGGAGGACGAGGCTTCAATTGAAGCACATACGGAGTTCCTCAAGAAAGAGATGAGGAAACCCGCTGAGACAAGAAACCAGGCAATGATCTTGGATGCCATGGACCGCACATTCAGCAAACGACGTGAATGGATCCTCGAGAAACCCCGCACGGTGGATGAGGTTTTGGAAATGTACCCTACGCTGGACCTGAAGGAAGAGGTATGACATTAAGTTGTTTCAGAGAATTGTATAAAACTTGCCAGCCTGATGCAAGCCTGTTTAATGTGATGCTGGAGAAAAATTCGGATTTTACAAAACAAGGCAGTGAAAGTGCCTCCATGGGATGCTACAAACACAAAAACATCACTTGTACGTACAGAAATATCTCGAACGGATAGCAACATTTTTGAAAAGAAAGGGCTAGTATGTGGTGTCACGATCCTTGCTGGTGTTCTTCACCTCTTCTCACCATGGAGTGTCCTTGGCTGCTTTAGTGCTCGCGGGCAGGAAGGGAGGAAGCGGGCATTACTTGCGATAAGGTAATGCCCGATTCCTTTATAAAATACATGGCCAGGGCCGGCCCTAGGGGCGGCTACCTGGGCGGTTGCCCAGGGCGCCATCAAAAAGAGGGCGCTTTCTCAACCCCCTCGAATTTTTTTTAGCCTTTTTTATTTATTTGATGACGGTGCTAACACGACTCTATATGCTCGATCGCCATTCGATTTTGGAATACGGGTCTCGTCTTGACAAAACACTTCTGTTGGGCCACTACTCTCGTGTTTACTAACAACTTGCTGTCGTACCCAGTAGATAGGGGCGTATAAAAAAGGGGGGGGGGGGGGGGTCATGACAGGTATTTGCCCAGGGCGCTTGATGGTGTAGAGCCCGCCCTGTATACGGCAACCTTACTTTGTGCTCCTGCCTCATTTTGTGAAATCCATAGTTTGTCTTCAAAGTTATCTTTTTTTTGTTTATTTATTTGTCAAGCTGCTGGCTTGATTATGATTAGGGCTCTGTGTTTTCAGATCTAAACTTTTGATATGATTAGCCCCTGCACTGTCACACGCAATATTGTGCATTTTTGCGCAACCTGTGACAGTGAGACCTTTTGGCAACAGAAACACTTTGATTCGACCAGTTATTATTTATTTGTAGTCAACGTTTTCGGATGTTATACTGGGAACTTAGTAGAAATAAACTCTGACAAACGCTGAATTTTTTTATAAAAAATAATCTCCGAAAAACACCCTCTGAATTTTACAAAAAATATACCCAGAAAACACTGAACCGTAATTATGATGTATAGGTAGTCATACATCAGTCATGCTGCTCTTAAAGACTTTCACATGCATAGTGGTACTAACAAAAACGCAGGTGTCAACTGACTAATTTTTCTCATCAACAGCAAAGAATGGATTTCAGTACAGGTCGACAGTAGACAGTTTCCTGTTCACTGACTAATATTAAGATATTAGAATATGATCGAATCATGTCGACATCAAGATAAGCTAGGTAAAAAATAATCCTGGTTGCCAAAACAACTACTGTGTTTCCAAATGTTGATTGAATATTTCTGAAAAATCGTTTATCTTTTAGTTCGTTTTGATTCCTGAACTATATAAGTAGCTTGACGCAAATGAAAGAATAGAAATTTACTAACAGCAATGACGAGAGGCTACTGTACTCATGGCATAGTATCAACATACCATTGATCTTTATCTTTTAGTGAACAAAATAACAAACCAGCAGCCACTTATATTAATAAGGTAATTTTGGCAACATTTGAAGGTTTGCTGGATCATAATAAAATCTAAAAAAATGTAGGCGGTTACCTATAATTTATCTGTTTGTATGGGTACTTCACAGGTCCTGAACGAATGCTTCAGGATAACTGGAATTCATGTTGAGGTGGAAGTGACCAAGTTCTTCGAAAGCAAAGGAGACCTTAAAAGGGCAAAATCTGAATACTTTTTGAGCAAGTTTAATAGTATTTACAATACACCGAAGAAACAGTGGGAAATGGTTAATAGCTTTACAAATAAAGACTATGTCCGGTGTGGTGTGAATAACATAACTATAAACGGTAGAAATATAGGTGGTGAGGAACTTGCAAATACCCTGAATGAGCATTTTATGAATGTTGGTGCTCCGCGAGAAAGGGAAACTGACGGCAAAATCAGTTCCACAAATAGAACTACAAATATCTCAAGCTCTATAATGCTCGAGCCTACTTCCCCATGAAAGTTAATAATTTGATAAAAAATATAAAGAGAAGTGTAGCGGCTGGGGCTGACGAAATAAAACCCTTGCCAGTTAAAACGGTGTCAAATATAATGAGCCTAGTCCTGGCACATATTATAAACAACATGTTACAAACAGGAATATATCTAGACGAACTCAAAGTCGCAAGGGTTAGTGCGGTGCATAAAGGGGGAAACAAAAATGACCTAGAAAAATACCGACCGATATCTGTTCTGCCAATATTCTCGAAAATATTTGAAAGCTTGATAAACGTTAGATTGCAAAGGTTTTTTTTTTTAAAATACAACGTAATCACTAGGTCCCAATATGGTTTTCAAAGGGACAAATCGACTGAACTTGCTCTTACGAATATAAAAGACATAATTATAACCAACATCGAAAATAAACTGTATACACTCGGGTTATTTCTAAATTTCAGCAAGGCCTTTGATTCGATACAGCACAATATTTTACTGTCAAAACTTCAGACTTGTGGTGTACGTGGCGTAGCGTCTGACCTAATCAAGTCCTACCTCCGAAATCGTAAACAGTTTGTACATGTCAATAACGAAAATAATCCCTGGAGAAGGGGAACAGGAGGGACAAAGGACAAACACAAATCTCCAAACACAGCTAGGTGTCAATAACGCCGCTTCTCAGCAATTAGAAATAAAACATGGAGTTCCCCAGGGCTCCATATTTTGCCCACTACTTTTTCTCGTATATATAAATGATATAACAGACATCCCGAATTCCCCACATATAGTGATGTACGCTGACGATACCAATGTTTTCTTCTGCAGCAATACAAAAGCGTCCTTAGAACAACAGGCAAATGATTATCTTCAAAAACTTTCAGACTGGCTGGAAACAAACACTCTTAAACTAAATGTGGACAAAGCAAATTGCATTATATTTGGACCTATTAATAAGCACGACAATAGTGTAATACATCTGATATATAATAGCACTCCCATATCTCAGGTTATAGAACAAAAGTTTCTTGGCGTCTGGTTTCATGAAACACTTACTTGGAACACTCACGTGAACAAATTAAAAGGTGACCTATCGAGAACAGTAGGCTGTATATATAAAATAGCAAATGTATTACCAAAGTGGCTTATCAAAAACTTATATTACTCTTTGTTTTACTCAAAACTTTGTTACGGAATAATGGCATGGGGGACAACCACTTCCACAAATTATAGCAAATTAATTATTCTCCTGAAAAAGGTTTTGCTCATTTTAGAAAACTATCAAGGAAATGTTCGTGATTTTTATAGCAGTATATATTTCTCAAAGCATAACATGCTTAAAGCAAAGCAGATTTATTACTTTAAACTTATCTGGACAATATACAAAGAAAAACTCTATCAAATGGATGAAGTGCCATCGCAAACTTATCTTTTTAGAAACGCCAAACACAAAACTCCTAAGGTCAGGACAAATTATGGAAAACAAAAACTAAATTATCAGGTTCCTCCATTACTAAATATCTTTGAACGGCGTGCTGATTTCACAGTATTTTTTAATAAATACAAAAGTAACGTCAGACACACCCTTGTACACAACGATATATATTACGCGTAGTAGAAACTGTTTTGTTTTTGCGCCTACCAGTGTTGCAATGACGAATCTGTTTGTTACATGGCTGTAACCTTTTGTGTACATATCTCTTGTGATTTTTTTTTTGCTCCTTTGGTTATTTTGTGATTATGCGTCAGTGATTACGAATCAATGTCGTACAAATGATAATCATGTTTGTGTGGCATTGTCTAGCTGGCTTTAGAATTTTAAAACGTTTTGCGAATTGTTTTCTATATTTTGCTCCTTTAATCATTTTTCGCCGCTTTAATCATTTTCTGATTATATGTCAGTGATTACGAATCAATGTCGTACAAATGATAGTCAACTTTGGGTGGCATAATCTAGCTAGGTTTAGAATTTCAAAGCGTTTTGTGAATTGTTTTCTTATTTCTTGTAATATTGTATTCATCTGAGGACAGATTAATCCTTGTTTATATTTGTAAAATAATTTCTAGGATTTTGTGCAACAAGTGTCCATGTTTGTAGCTATGTAGATATATGTATTTTTGTATACTTTCTTTACGTTAATGGCAACTAATGCAAATTTTGCTGTAATAAACTGTGGGGGGTAGAGGCCCAGTCAGGCAGAAATGCCTTTTGTCTCTACCTCCCTACCGGGCCTGGCCCGTGAGAAACCAAATAAACTTCAAACTTCAAGTGTAGTAATGTAGAGAGTTGAGCTAGCTGGTATTTAGAACACATACCTAAAACAGCGCACACACACAAGAGGAAGAGAATAGACACAGGAAAGAGCGCTGACTCCCAACATATATTGTGAAAGAAGGAGAAAGATGAAGCTTCAGGTTTGAAACCTACGCGCACCCACAGGGTAAAACGAAGAAAAAAAAGAGAGAGAAAAACAGTTGCGGTAAGAAAAGAAGAAAACAACTACAATATAAAGGCACGACACAAAAATGGAGTAAAAAAGGAAGAAGAAGCATTAAGAAAAAACAAAACACATTTGCAAAACGTACAGTCCGGCCAAGATCACTCGTATGCCCTGGCTAGGAAGTCTACCTCCCTGTCACTCAAAGATAGTGAAGGTTGACTCACACACAGCTGGCCTGATTTTTGGATGTGGTAGGCTTCTAAGATTTCTCTAGTTTGCCGATCTATATATCGTCCTAATATTGTTGTCTCCGAAAAAGTTGGCGAGCACTGACAGGTGCGGCAGTGTAAGGGCAGGAGGCCACCCACTGTGGCGTGAAGTGAATAGAAATGTTCACGGAGTCGGTCATTAAGACAACGTCCAGTCTGTCCTATATAACAACCACCACACGTTAGGGGGATCCTGTACACAACACCCTCTGAGCAGGGAACAAACTTGTGCTTGTGACGCTTCAGGCACCCTGGTGTTGAGTGGTTGTCAATAACAGAACACACTTTAGAACAGATCTTGGCTATCTTGTAGGGAGCAGAAAACACCACCGGGACCTGGTACCTGCTGGCAACTTGTTTTAAATTGTGGGAAAATTTATGAAGGTAGGGAACCACTACCGGGCGCTTTCTCTGTAAATGAGGTCTGTCCTTGTGAACCCCCTTCACCTTCCGTAACAGGGACCCCAATACCTCAACAAGCACCTGCGGTGGGAACCCACACACTCTTAGGCGTTCAAGCTGAGACCCACAACTCTCCTTGACCGCATGGTAACAGGACTTAAACAGGGCCGATCCTAAAATGGAGACGGCTATTCCTCTTTTTACGACCTTTGAATGGGAAGACGTGTACGGAAGAATGCCTTTCTTTGATCGGGGAGAAAAGGACCAGCAGAGGTGATTGGGCTGGACGGATAATGAAAGGTCCAAAAATTGCAGGGTGCCAGCCTTGGGTTGTTCGAAGGTGAACTTGAGGCCTAAGCCACACCTAACGAAGGTTTGCAACACCTGGTTTACAATGTCACTCTCTACATCTTTCTCATACACAATCAAAAAATCATCGACATATCTAAAAACTTTCCGTACCGGAAGAGGGCTAAGCGCGATGTGAATAGCATGATCTACAGTGGACAGAAAAATGTCACTAAGAATAGGGGCCACACAAGACCCTATACAAATGCCAGATTTTTGCAAAAACATAGCATCCTTCCATCCAATAAACATTGAATTGAGATAGAACAGTAAAAGCTCTAGAAATCTTTCCAAGGGTATGCCGGTAGCGTTTCGGAAGGGGAGCTCACCGTTAATCTCAATACATGACTGAACCGAGGCAAGCAAAGAATGGTGTGGAAGGGAATAGAAAAGGTCTTCAACATCCACACTGAAAACACCATGATTGCTGTACCTCAGGTGCCTTTGAAGGTAGGCCGCCACTTGGCGCTGCCAGGTCCCTCGCTCAGTAACGATGGCGCGAAACGGGCAAGCGTCCTTATGAGTTTTGGCACTGAAGAACACATGAAGATGTAACCCTTCTGCTTTTTTGATGGAGCCAGCCAGTTGGGTCAGTGTCATGTTGTTACAGAGGTCCATTGCCCGGCGCTTTGCTTCCTTTAAATTAACAGGCTCCGATCGGAAGTTCTTGATCACAGCTGCATTGGCTCTGTCCTGGTACATCTCTTCGGACATAAGAACAAACGAACCTTCCTTGTCAGCTTCTAATATACGGAGCTGATTGTCCACTGTAAACTTGACCACTGGACGGAGATCATAGGAAGGCATACGACGAGCGGGCAGGTTGTAAAGAGCATCCACACATTCCGAAACACAGCGTGGTCGGAAGTCTTCATTGACCTTGTTCGACACACTTCGAGCTATCGTCAGGAGCTGAGGAGGTTGGAGTTTTGGTTGCAGGCAGAACTTAGGACCAAGGCTTAGAACCTTCCCTACTGATGGTGGTACTTGTACATCCCCCAAGGTGGAGAAGCCACACGTCGGGGGAAGAACCTTCTTCCTTTTCGGTAACCTCCACCGGATCTGCTGCCATAAAAACTCTTTTTTTTTATGTGAAATTTATGTCAGAAACATCAAACCAAAAAAATGTATGAAGTCCGAAATTTCAGTCAATGTTGTACTATAACTCTATGGGGTGTGCGATGGTCCTGTAAGAAAAGCCAGAATTATAGGGCATGTCTGAAATTTCTGTGTCAGAAAGATCAGCAGGCAGTATTACAATCTCCCTATTTACATAAATGAAACTTTCTCAATTTTCACTTTTTTCTTATTGTTGTAGATCTCTTATTACATCTAAGCAACTCTGCTTCCGTGAATGAAATGGACCATTTTCCAGTACGCATCTGCGCATGCGCATACCAGTGTCTACTCTCGCTCCCAGTCGGCCGTTTCGCTGCCGCCATATTTGCAGGACAACGGTGCCTCTACCGAACTCTCTGCCGCTCCTCCGCCACCGTCGCTGCCCCACCGCCCGTCGAGGTCGAGTTTCGTGTGGATCGCGCAAGGAACGCTTTCTCGTTTTGTTGCAATGCCAGACGCGTGCTCCGCGGTCGGGTGTTCCAAGCGAAGAGGGAAAGAGAGTGGAGCGCGGTTCTTCCGGTTTCCGTCGTCCAAGACGCACAAGAACCAACGGAAGAAGTGGATCGCGGCTCTCCGGCGTGTAAACCCCGACGGTACGCCGTGGCAGCCGACGCGCAACGCTCGGATATGCGGCGCGCATTTCCACACAGGTAAGTTCACTATAACATATCGCACGACTGTCTTCGATGCCGCACGCCACATCACATCACATTCACGACTTTATAGCTTTTTTGTTGAGTTTGCTAACTGCGCTGAACTTGTGATCGCACCTCGTCGCGATCCAGCTCTGCAAGGCGCTGAAAAAGCCAGAGGACAGACGTCGTTTCATCACAAAAGTTTAATCAAACCAGTGGCGTCACAAGGGGGGGGGGGGAGGGAAAGGGGGGGGCGCGGACCGCCCAGGGTGCAGCGCTCAGGGGGGTGTCGCGGCGGGCCGCGGGGGCGGGGAGTCGCGGCCCGCCGGCACTGGCCGGCTGTGTGTAAAGTTTCCTCCTCTTCAGATTGCCACAAAAAGTTCACCCCGAGTATAGCTCATATGCATTTTCTGTGTTTTCACCAAAACTGGTATTATCCATCCCGCATTTTCCCTTGGCTTTTTATGTGCAGCCATTGAATAACCTGTGGCTACCTTCTTCTGTTTAGGTGAACCAGCACGGCTGTCGACTCACCCAGATCATGTGCCATCAATCTTAAATGGCTGCCCAGCTCGGGATGGAATCATGCGCTGGCACAAGCGGGCTGACCTTCGCGGAAAGCGTGGTTTGTACCGTAGTCACGAGATCCAGTCATCTTTTATTTATCCTAAAAGTCAAATTTAAATACATGTGCATGCTTGGTCAATTAACAGCCTGTTTTGAAGCTGATAGGTCAAATGCTGTATAAACTGTTCTTTTCATAGATTCAGTTTACCATTTTTGGTGCTATTCTACTTGACAGTCCTAGCTGCCATTCATCAGCCTGGAGCTGCCGTCTGTCTACCGGAAGCAGAAGGTATGATATGATGCCAGTCACGTCACTGCATGTCTCAACTACTTGCTATGCTCGGGAGTTGAATAAAAGAATTAGAAGCTGAATATAGTTTTCAGCGATCTTTCTTCGAAAATTTATAGTCTCAACATACGTATGTGGGGCAAATAACTGGCATTCTGCATTTTTGGTATATACCGATAAGCTCTCAAAATAATCTCCCCAGCCGATTTCTTCGGAATCCGAGAAAAGCAATGAACCCCATTAGTAGCTGTCCTTGATCAAAAAAGAAAAAGCAGCCTCGTTAAGCACACATTTTTGCAAATCCAATGAAAACCGCATGCGAGCGATTTCTCAGGCGACTGGCAAGGTGATGCGACGAGCAATTGCTGTCACCGGGTCCACCTGTTGCCAAGGCATACCGCGTGCATGCCGTGCAAGCGACGACACCGGCAACGAGCCGCCTCGGTGGCTCCGAGGCGAGAGTGCCGGCCTACGGATCCCCTGTGGCGGGTTCGAATCCCGGCCGAGGTGCCCGCAATCTGACGGAGGCTTATTGCGGAGGAGGCGCCGTGTAACTGAGCTTTCGGTTGCACGTCAAAAGATCCCCAGGTGGTCCAAAATAATCCTCAGTCCTCCGCTGGGGCGTGCCAGATGCCCGTCGTTGGTAGGGTGACCACCCGTCCCGCGACTCGCGGGACTGTCCCGCATTGAGGGCTCGTATCCCGCGTCCCACGGGAAATTCCAAAACCTTCAAAATGTCCCGCATTTCACATTCTCGTAAAATTCGTTTCGGAACTTATGATGCTGCCCAACAACGGGGCACGGGGGACCGCGGAGGTCGCTGGCAATTGTGCGAATCAAAATGATACGCCATTTTCTAAGGATTGCGGGAAGCGACCGTCGTTCTTGCAGGAAATCCATCACGCATGTGCCGTCGTGCTTCTCCCTTTGGTGGCAAATATTTTAAGAAAAATTGCTCGCCAAGTCTAAATATAAAATATAGTAATTATTTTAAAATCGCTATGTCAATGCAAAAGGGCTGCTGTGGGCTTTTTAATTTTTTTTTTTATTGAAGACACCCACACTCGTAACGGTCGAAAAAGAACATAATGTTAAAAAATTTTAAAGGATCATGTTGATAAAAGTAAGCATTGACAGGAAACATTAACCCGAAAAAGATTTACTGTTCCTTATTTTCATTTGATGCATTGAGTTGTGATAGAGTCTACTTTTGTGTTTTCAACTTCGACACATTTAATAACGCGTTTGCATGACATAAAATATATCACTGGGAGTGGAAATTATTTACACTCAATTGCTGCATTACAATTAGCAGATGTATAGACACTACAGGATAATAAACGTGTTAACAGAGCCTCGGTTTGTTGTATGCATGTTAAAAAAATTCCTCTAACCGCCTCTCCCCCCCCCCCCCCCTTTGCTCTGCATGTCCCGCATTCCGCTAGCAGGAAAGTGGTCACCCTAGTCGTTGGTTTGGCACGTAAAACCGCCATATTTGACTTTGACATCGGCAACGAATGAATGGATTAATAGACAGCAGGTATACACGTTTGCAAACATGGGGTCCCGATTAGTGCCCCTTTGCGTTGGAGCGCAAGCCACATGCATGTTAAGGCGGCTTTGGCCGGCTTGCAGTCGCATGTACTTCCTCACACGAGCAGGAACATGGCAGCGCCCCGATGCCCTGTTTGCAATCGTTTATACCCTTCGTCAGCTGCGGCAGCTTGTACAACCTTAGCAGTGATGTGATTTCTGCGCCATGTGCGCCAAAGTGCTTTACCTGCTAAACCCTGCTACATTTGGCCAAAATTTGACGAATTTGCTCCAACATTTTGCTAAAAGTCAATATCACTTAATTGATTTTGAAAATACAATGGCTCAGGCCCCGCTACACGGCCGGATTTTTACGGTATCACGTCGTAGATTTGATTCATTATTTATCAAACACTGACACTACCCGGAAGTTTCCAGATATTTCTCGTATGCGTGGTATGTTGTGACAGGTTAGCTAGCTCTGTTGAGTGTGCTTCTCACTGCGCACTAATGTTCTGCAGTGAAGCGACAACCACAAAATAAGCATCGCTATTTCGACTATCTTGCTTTGCCACAGCGTACTTGCGTGCTAAGGGGAAAGCATTCTTCCAAAGCGGAACGTGACAATTTCTGAATAAAGCTGCAGTTATTATATATACGATGTGTAATCAGAAAGTTTCGGGGGCTGATTTTGTTGCGTAAAAAGAGAGGGCAGCACAGTGACCATGCGCATGGACACAATGGCGATTTTACTATAGGCTACAAACCAGAGTGAGAGCGAACATCGATTTTGCATCAAACTCGACAAATATAAAGCAGAGACCTTCAATAGGATTCAGCAGGCTTGTGTAAAAAGCAGTGAATTTCGCGAAGTGTTTTAAGTGGCACTCGCACTTCAGGAACGGCAGAACATCGCTGGAAGACGAAGAGCGGTAGTAGACTTTATCCGACCTCTCCTTGACTTCGGTTGACGTTCTGCCATTATTGAGGCACGAGTGCCACTCAAAACACCTCGCACACCTCACTTTTTTTTACATAAGCCTTCTAAACCATTTTAGAGGTCTCTTTTTATGTTTGCTGAGCTTGACGTAAAATTGATATTCGTTCTCGCCCTGGTTTGCAGTGTATGGAAAGATTGCCATCATGCTCGTGCCTGTGGTCAAACAAACTAGTGTAGCGCAGCTCCAAATGTTCACAGAGCGACACTTTTTAGTATAATGAGACACGAAGGTTCTTTACTTTGACTGCTGCGCATGCATCACTGTACTGTCCTCACTTTCTACACTACAAAACTAGTCCCGTCACTTTTTGATTACCCCTCGTATATAATGGGCTGCAATGTTGTGACTAAATGTTTTTCAAATTCGAGATTTAGCAAGGATACTTGAGTATTGCTAAGATATTTGTTTAGACTGCTCTTGCGCCGACAAACTCGGAGAGGAGCAGAAGAGAGCGCGCGTTGCATCAGAACGCCGAGTTCTGGTTCGGAATAGTGGGCATACTTGAATTCTCCCGCGCGCGATTACACATTCACTGAAGCAAAACAGAGAGTGGCTAGAGCTGGATAGAAATACTAAGCCGAACCCAGTGAATGTGCAAAGCAGGAGTTTGCCTGCCTAGGCATGCACCTTGAGTCTCAGTTGATGCGATTCACACTATACTAAATATTTTCAGGTATGTTTGTGGTACTTTCAGCTTCCAGCAGAGGAGACTCAATGAATGAAGGTATGAACACCAATACGCAATAATAAATGTAGATGTGAGCTACTATACTGGTGCACTTAGCACGCAAGACATTGGCTTCAAAGGCCCGTTTCTTTCATATGGTCTGGCTGCTTTTTCATTCTGTTTAATGAAACAATAATGTTGTGTTGCAGATGTCGACGATGCAGGCATAAGTTGTACAGCTTTCGCAACTGATAACAGACTTCAAAATGGTATGTCGTCCGCAGCTACATTCAGAGGCTTTCTTGGTCGGGCTACTTCCATGACAAACTAACTCTTAGTTATGTACGAGTCATCAAGGGCATATACAATGGACCTCTTTTGAGTAACGTGCGCAGTCTGGGGAGTTGTCTGAGCTACAATAGAGGAGCAGCCCAACGTGCTTCCGCCTGTCAAAACACATTGGCATTGTGTCGTATCGGTTTTCAGTGCTTTTTATACTCCATACTACCAATATTAAAAAACAAAGCATCACAATTGTCTAAATACGCAAGAAGACAGATCCTGACAATGTTCCTGTCGCCATTTTGGCAGGCCACCGCGTCCCGGTGTCCTGCGAAAACGGTGCCAGCGGAAGTGTACCCATGCTTACTGGAAAAAGGTTCATTAGTAACTGACTGTGGTATTGCAGGAGACGATGCAGGCACCAGTCGTAGAGCTGCTCCACACGACTTCAGACCACAGAACGGTGTGTATTCCACAGCTACATAAAAATACTTCTTAACTTGTGATTAATTCCAGGCAGGGCTCACCCTTGACGAGACCAACCTTTTGTAGAAGGGTGAAAATGAAGCTCCGTGGAGTGCGTTGCCTGTCTTTTGTGATTGGTACTTTACTAGATTTAATAAACATGACGTCCCCCAGTGATGATTCAGCAAGAGTTCCTTGAGGTGCAGAAGTATGGTAACTACTCCCAATTTTATACCGATGGTGCCAAATCATTGCATTTTGTAGGATCAGCAGTTTGCTCTGAAGGATTCAGTAAGGTTCAGCGTCTCAAGGAATGTGCAAATATTTACACGGCAGAGCTCTATGCAGTGCTGATGACCTTGAAGTATATTCTCACCAGCAAGACGATGAAATCTATTTTATTTGTGGATTCTCAAAGTGTGCTCACCACACTTTGCTCAATGAAGGGAAGTAAAAATAGACTGGTACAACTTGTCCGACCTAAGGTACAATGTGGTCTGCGGCTTGGCCGAGACATAAAAGTTTGCTGGGTGCCTAGCCATATGGGAATCCTAGGTAACGAAAGAGCAGACGAATTAGCCACTGCTCTAAGCACCTACTGCCAACTACCTCACAAATCCCATTTCAAGACATAAAGCCCTTAGCAAAAATATTAGTTTTCCAACAATGGCAATCGGAGTGGAGTCTGGAATGCGAAAACAAACTTCACAGGATTAAACCAGCTCTTGGAATGTGAGAGAGTGCATCCCACAAAACTCGCCGCCATGAAGTTCTTTTGTGTCGTCTTAGAATTGGACACTCCTACCTTACCCACAGACATCTGCTCAGGAGGGAAGCCCCACCCCTGTGTGATAACTGTGGGGAGCGTTTAACAATTTTACATTATTTGTGGCTGTGCCCAGGGCTTGAGCAAGACCGACGTACACATTTCCCCGAGTTTTTTTCACACCAGATTCCTTTTCACCCAGCGCTGCTAATTGGGAAGACTCAGTACCGTTTGATCGTGTCATAAATTACTTAAGAAAAACCGGCTTCCTACTGGAGTTGTAATTTTAATTCTGTCTTTTAACCTTGTCATATGAACCTTTTTTAGATAATTTGTATAAGAAAGTCCTGAGTATGTCCCAACTAAACAAGCTTGGCGTAGTATGGCCATAGCAGCTTTGCGCCATAAGGCCCATAATCAACAACCAGTCAGAGCTAATTATCAATTTTGTATGCAGTTCAGCAGAGTGTATAGACAGCAACTGACAGTGGTGAGTTTGCATGCATTATAGATGCAGTAACATTACAAAAGGGCATTGGGATGGTTGCCTATGCCTTGTTTGATCTTAGTATTTGTGAAGTCGTTTGTCCTTGTGAAGTCGACTCATTTCCGGCACATTAATTCTTCAGCCTCATAAGTTTGTGAGCAAGGGAAGGAACAATAGTGCTGTGCCCTTTCTTTTAGGGGCGAAGCTCCTTAGGGGCTAGCCATGTCCGTATGGCGTCAGGTGCACGTGCTCCTGCTCGTGAGCTCACGAGCACGTGCTCCCGTGCTCGTGTAGGGCAAACAAAACAAAAAACAATCGCATCTCCACGTGGTGAATAATGTTGATTGGGGCGAAGCTCTGGTGGTGCTTGTCTGCGTAGACGGTGAGCCTCAGCATGCCGAGCCTTTCGTGCGTTTTCATCCATGAAAGAGAATGTGTGGTATGGAACGTGGTTATATACGCACTTGAGCATTTGACCGCAGCGTGACATGGATGAAAATGAACGAAAGGCTTGGCAGGCTGCGGCTCAGCGTCTACGCAGACAAGCACCACCAGAGCTTCGCCTTAATCAACATCATTCACCACGTGGAGATGCGGTTTTTCTTTTCTTTTTTTGCCACTGTGGAGGCTAATTAACTTTCAAACTCGTCTGATATAAATCCTGTTTTGGTAAGATATAGCACCTTGGATCATGTATCTCATAAAGTTAAACTAGTTTTTGATGAACCTGTCGTGATGATATGTTCTGGCAAGGTATGTGTTACTCAAGTTGTTGGGCAACAAATTCTCTCTGCAGAAGCTGCCGACGCACTCCTTCTGCTCTCCTCGGGTAGTCGGGAGAAATGTTTGCTCCAAGAACATGTACAGTCAGCAACCGACAGTGGTGAGTTTGCACACATTATAGATGCTAGCATCACAGAAGGGCATTGGGACGCTTGTTTTCGCCTTGTTTGCTTTTAGTCCTTGTGTAGGCGACTCATTTCTGGCACATTAATATACTTTAGCCCCCTACATTTTTGAGAAACATAAAAAACAATAGTGCTCTGCCCTCTCGTTTTTTTTTTTTTGTTGTTTTTTTTGCTGTGGATGGTAATTACTCTGTAGAACATGGTTGTCTGGTATACACCATGTTTTCGTAAGTTGTAGCACTTTCTTGTATTGCCTGTCTCGTAAGATTCAGCTAGTTTCGGATGAACCTGCCATGATGATACGCTTGGGACATGCCATACGTTACTCGCATTTTATTGGGCAACAAATGCTTTCTGCAGAACCTGCTGACGCGCACCTACTCTCCTTGGGTAGTGTGGACACACGTTTGCTGCAGGCAAAACTTCAGGCAGCTGAGCTTGCCTTGGCTAATGCCCAGCAGCAGGCCGACTACTGGAAAGGCCAGTACGAGAGAAAGAAGGCGCAGGGACTTGGTCTGAATACACTGGAAGACCCCCACGACTGCCACTATTACACTGGTCTGCCGTCGAGTGGGGTGTTCTATCTTCTTTTTGGCCACCTGGAAAAGGTGCTGTCAAAATCTAAGAAGGGACCTGCACCTTGCCAGACGCTTGCCGAGGAAGTTTTTATGGTGCTTGTGCGCCTCAGGACAGGAATGCCGGTTAAGGAAGTTGCCCGCAATTTCAACATGTCTATTTCGCAGTTCAGCAAAGTTTTTTCTAGGTGGATTTTGTTTTTGCAGAAAGCACTGAAGGACATAACGAGATTTCCAACGCTTGCAGAGGTGGCTGAAAAGCAGCCTAAATGCTTCAGGAATTTTCCTGACACACGAATTGTCATAGATGGAACTGAAATTAAAATACAAACACCGTCCTCCATGAATGCTTAGCGGCAGACATTTTCCCCGTATAAGCACGGGAACACCATGAAAGTGCTCATTGGTGCCACGCCCGATGGGTATATAAACTTTGTCTCAAAAGCCTGAGGCGGGTCAGTGAGTGTCAGGGAGAAGGTCCTTCAGAGTGGTCTGTTTGCCTTGCTTGAACCCGGGGATGCTATCATGATGGATAAAGGTTTTAAAGTTTTTGACCTTCTGCCACCCGGTGTTAGAGCATATATGCCTCCTTTCAATAAGCCTAGCAAGGGCCAAATAAGCAAGGAAAATGTCAACAGCACCCGAAAAATAGCTAGTACACGGGTGCACATAGAGTGCGTCACTCGGAGGATCAAAGAATTTCATATCCGGGACAGTGGGTACCCCCTGAACATGACAGACATAGGGGACGCAGTTTTGCAAACATGTGCATTGCTCTGCAATTTTAAGCATCCACTTATCGCAGAAGGTGATAGGAAGCATAGCTACTAAGCATGCATAGGAGTTTTTGATTTGCCTGTCTGATTTTTATCAGACAGGCAAATCAAAACCTTAGCACGCATACTATGCTTGTCAACTCATGAAGTAAGGGTGCTTAAAGGGGTACTCCGGCGATTTCTTCATGGTCCCCGATTCGCTTGAAATTTTGCTAAACTCGCCAAACATCGCTAAAATAGTATCCGAAATATTAAGTCAAAATATTTTTTCCCACAAAGTTATTGAATTTACAGTTTTGGTCCTCGCCGTGTTTCTCAAACTGAAAGTCTCTGCTTGCAACAACGAAAAAGTGACGTCAGTGGAAGGCAGGTGTTCACTCTTTGCGCTGTAGAATTTGTTCCCAACTGATTCAAAGCAGTTTCATGGTGTCAAATGAATGCTTTCGGAGCTCGCTCCAGTTCCCGCACTCCATCCTGGAAGTAATGATTGGCATATTCTATTTTTTAGACTGCTCGCTCGACTGGCAAGCCTGCCCGCCACTGACGTCACGGCACTGAAAAGTGCGGGTATATTTGAATGTTGGTTTTTGCATCATTTTCATTTGCCGCTTTCACAATAACTATTATGGATTTCGCGATACTGAACAGCATACCGGAAAGGGTAAAGGCTGGGGAGTCAGAAAATATAGTTAGTTGAGGTAGCTCAAAAAATCGCCGGAGTACCCCTTTATTAACACATGGTTTGTGCGCTGTGCAAAGTAGTTCTTATAAATTTGTTAGAGGAAAATTTTTTTTGTGTGTGTGGCTGAGACGATTATGTTTAAGCAAGACAACACATACCATATTTCCTGGTGTAAAAACTGCGGTTCTTTTTAAAAAATTTTCTTTCTGCGTCTTATACAAACAACAGTGCGACATCTTCGCTTTTTTTGTTTTCTTAATCGCGGTGAAACGCTTTTCTTTATATGCCGGGCGCATAAAAGTGTCAGGCAGGAGGCACTCACTTGATCGAATGATGTTTGGCGAATGCCGGTGTTCACCGAACGACAATTTAGCGAAGAGTCGGCCAGATGGGTTCACATTTTTGTAATGAGCCGCCGCAAAGTGGAGGTGGCTGAAAGGGGCCCTGCAACGACTGTCTGGGTGCTTTTTATTTTGCACCGAACCTGAGTGCAGTGAACGTAGTAACTTAGGGAACCTTTTCGTTTCTCAAATTTCGCTTTATTTTAGAAGTGATAGGCAAATTAAAGTAACAAAAACAAGCGAAAGATAACCTCCTTCATGACGTCCTTGGTCCTGGCTTGGGTTGCTGTGAACTAGAGGAGGGGTAGTGAGCTCAGCGAGCGCTCACGGCTGCCGCACTCTGTGTAGATGGCTCGAGAGGGCACCACTAAAGCATGTGCAGGATAGGCTGGATGAAGCGGGCGGCCACGGCGATTCGCATTGCATTTGCTGTGCAAATAAACACTAATTTGGCATGACACTTGCCCGCAAACGACAGCAAACATGGGGTATAGATAGTTCATAACGGGAGCCATTTCGCGCTGCCAAACCGCCAAACAAACAGACTACAAACCGAACCTGCTCGCCGAAGGCCTTTGGAACGCTCGGGTCCTCGAGTTCATACAACCGCAGCGCTCAAGTGTACTTTCGGGACCTTTCCGCGTTGGTATGGTGCCTGGTGTGCGTCTCCGACTGGTTTGTTTAGCCTCCTACGCTGTCCACACATCAAAAGTAGTCCCGAAATGGCAACAAATGATGTCACAGAAGCCGAAGTGTCATGCGGTCGCATGCCGCGACCCAGGCGGTTGGTCGCAGAAATGCTGGCAAAAAGTACAAGCGAACGCCAGTGTCCCTGTTGTCACGGCGTCCCAACTTCCTGCTGCTGTAGCTTCCGTGGACTGTCAAAGTGAAGAGCGACCTGCATCAGAACAGGCGTCTGCCACATTTACCGCAGCTGCTGGGACACCACCAGCGTCGCGATCGGCGACAGCATGACGCTTGTATGACGTCATCAGGCAGAAATCGAGGTACCACTTTTTTGGACACGGTAAACACACCAGTCGGAGACACGTTCCAGGCACCATAGCGTTGGCACCTGATCCCACTACCCCTTTCCAGTATGCGCCGCCTTTTCCACCGCTTAGTGCCAGGTATGTCGAGGGGTCATTTCTTCTTTCCGTACTTTATAAACTGCATTTGTTTCTTTTCTGATCTAAAATACTGAGCAGAAACTACTTTCATAAATAATTTAAACGGTTTGCAACACTTATATTTCCTATTTCAACTAAAAAGAAATGCTTTTAGTGCCTCTGATCAGTCGTAAGGCAGGACAAGGCTGGAGCTGGCCAGGACCAACAACGTCGCAATGTTGTCGCATCGCGTGCCGCGCGCGTTCGGTAACAACGGGGCGCCCCCGTAAGTGGAAGAGGTTTCCGCGTCGTCCGGTTAAAATGTGACGCCCTAATATTTAGTTACTCTCCATGCCCGCTGGGTTGCCCGAACCACAAGAGATGTGGAAACCGCACAAAAGGTAGACTCTAAAATAGGACTGTGGGCCCCTTCAACACACGCCCCCATTATTTGCTAAGACGTCGATTCGCTCAACGTCGCTGTTCGCTAAAACGTCATTTGCTTGTGATATGAACCCGGTCTCTGGCACGTTAAACTTCTGTTCGCTCTGTACGTTCCAATTTAGTGAAACATTGGTATGTCATACAACTGGCATTTGATGAAAATTATTGTGTGCTTTGAATTTGATTCAAGCCTAAAATGCTCCCATCTCCCCGTGCCAAGATGCAAGAAGTTAGTCTGCCTCGAATGTGTGCAATGTCTCCACTCTAGATGAGAAAATTTGCTTCTCCAGTACAGCTAGTCTGGGGTCTTTAGTGCGTTACACGCGGTGGCGATTGCATGTAACGTGTCAGTTGCGATGCTCATGATCAAACCACGGGTTCAGCCAGGCAAGCTTTCCCTACATGGGATCTAACCTGCGACATGCTAGAGCAATGGTTCTTAAATGGGGGTCCCCGCCTCACATCAGTCAAGCCCGGCAATAAAGGGTTTTTTTTTTTTTCTTAGCTTGAGAAGAAACATTCCGATTTTCGGGGGAGTTTTCTCATGTATATATCAATAGGAGAAATCTACTTCACACTAGCACTTAGCTATAATCATTTATTAAATCTTTATCATAATTAACCTATAATGTCCCTTTTCCTCATCACGAACGGGGTCCTCCATCGTCCCCGCCGATCCACAAGGGGCCCGCGAAACATCAGTGGCTGAGAACCACTGCGCTAGAGTAAGGTACAGCTCAATAAAGTAGGGCAAGGAAAAGGAAGGCTGGGGAGAAAGAACCAGACGGAACGCTGGAAGGGAGAGGGGGAACATCCTCCGCTCTCCAGCGTTTGGTCTGCTTCCTCCTCCCCGGCCTTTTTTTTTTCTCGCCCTAGATTCTTGAGTTTCAACAGGCTATAGCACACTCGGCCACCTCTGCAGGTGTGGGTGGGTAGTTGAAGGAACATTGCAGGCTGCTTGCAGTCTTTTACGCAAACGTGACCCACAGAGGTACACCTATAAAATAGTATAGTAACTTTCTTTTCAGACGAAAGCACCAAAGCTGCA